CAATACTCAACAATACTTTTCCAGTCTTCAGCTGTCCGGTTTTGGTGAGCCTTTGTCCACTGCAGCCTCAGCTTTCTGTTCTTGGCTGACAGAATTGGAACCCGACATGGTCTTCTGCTGTTGTAGCCCATCCACCTCAGGGCTGGACATTCTGCTCACCACAATTGTACAGATTGGTTATCTGAGTTACCGCAGCCATTCTGTCAGTTCAAACCAATCTGGCCATTCTCCGCTGACCTCTCTTATCAACAAGGCACTTCTTTCTGTACAGCTGTAGCTCACTGTATTTTTTTTCTTTATTGCTTCATTCAAAGTAACTCTAGAGACACTGTGTGTGAAAATCCCAGGAGATCAGCAGTTATAGAAATACTCAACAATCATGCCACACTCAAAATCACTGAGATCACATTACCTGAAGCTGCTGCCCATATCTGAATGATTTTATGTATTGCTGTCACACAGATGGCTGATTAGATAATTGCATGAATGAGTAGGTGTACAGGAGTTCCTAATAAAGTTCTCGTTCCTAATAAAGTGAGTGTAGCTCTAAGTAGAAGCCCATGCTAGCAACTAGCACAGCTAAGCAACATTTCTACACTCAGGACAAACAGTAGAACAGGGTAATGCTGTGTTTACATGTTGCTGTTGAAAAAAGCGTCATTCTGTCCCTCATCGATGGCCGCATGCAGCCATGTAAACGTTTCCACAGTGACAACTTCTTTTTTAGTAGCAGTCACTTTTGTCTGTTTAAGGTAGAAAAGGGCAGGAGGATGCAGAACCTTTAATTTCACCGTGCTGTTAAAAAAAAGAAGAAAAATGGCAGGATGTTTTTAAGCCACAGATTTCTTTTTGTTCCTCACAAAAGAGGCAAAGGGTGCAATTGTGTTGACTACTAGCTCCAGATGTGACAAAGCAGAGGACAAACCAATCTATTTGCTGGGACACAGTCAGCTTAGATATTGCTATGCCGACCTACAGAGACAATAAACTTTGTGTTGGATTCATGTTGCCTGCGAAGGTTTGCCAAAAAACGAACAGAGGATGAGGAAAAAATGATGATTTTTACCATCTGAATAATCACATTGTGATCGTATTAGTAATGTCCCTAATTTTATAATGTAACTGTGATCTGATTATTTTCTTTTTTCTGTAACTGCAACTGTACAGTTACATCATTTTTGTGTCCTGGTTATATAACACATATGTATGTCTATTACTACCCAACACTGTGTATTTTGTACAAGCTTCTAAAGGCAAGCAGCAAAAATATACTCGAAGCTTAAAGCTGAGCTTTGTTTGCCATTGTTGCACTACAAGTGGTGTGACAGCAGTGCAGGCTCATTTACACAGGCCAGAGTCTGAAGGGAAAAAGGCAACAAAAAGTTTGAATTAAACATTTCATTTTGCGACCGGTCTCATCCAGAGATAAAGTCTAATTGTGTTTCAGAGTAAACCAAACATAGAGGTAGGAGTTTTTCCTAGAACAGCCCAAAATATCAACTTTACCTGCCAAAAAGGGATTTAAACCCCAGTCTCCAGTATAAAAATGCTGTCACGTTACCCATTATGCTACCTAATTGAATGAAATGAAACTCGTTTTTATAATAATGCAAACTTGGTGTAATGCAAAGTTACGCCCCTTATTGCTGTTATTTTGGAGGTTGATCAAATAACCTCATTATGGACAATTTCTTAAAGAGGTTGTCAGTGCTTTATTGGAGGGACTTCCAGCACTTTGGTGATGCCTTCTGTCTGTGCCAGGTCATAGTTTCTGACATAGGAGATTCTGAATTAAGGGAAGGGTACACGTTCAGAAAGGAATGTATTGTCACTGGGGTTGTACCCCTCACATCACTTCAGTACCTTCAGTACCCTTAGTTAGGCCACATAATTGTATCATATTCTATTATTTTTTTCAAATTGTGTTGACTCCATACACCCAGTCTGTCTTGACTCCTGGTTTGTTATTTTATAGTTCTGTTATAAAACATTAAACAGTTAGAAATAAAGGTTCTGTGCTGGTACATTTTCCATTCATCAAGGTACAAACAATGTAAATGTTCCCTCAAAGGTACAACAGTGGTTTAAAGGTCCAATTGTGCACCTTCAATAAGATTAAATAAGGTGAAAAGCACTTATTTATACCTTTTCATAACCGAATGTTTTAAAACAAAACAATAAAATAAAAAGCCTAGACACGAGGCAGGGTGTGTGGAGTCAGTACAGCTTAGAAAATATCATTTCAATGGATTGTGGTACAATTATGTTCCCCAAATAAAGGTACTGAGATGTACCCTTGAGGGTACCACCCCATTGACAGTAGAGGTACTGCCCCAGTGACAGTTTCATACCTTTATTTCTGAGAGTGAAGGTTATGAAAAGGTACAAATACATACCCCCGGCAAAAAAAACGTATTTAAGGTGCACAGTTGGACCTTAAAACCACTGTAGTACCTTTGAGAGTACATTTACATTGTTTATACCTTTGTTGAACGTAGATATACCTGTACAGTACCTACAGTATATTGCATCAGAGGGGGCATCCAAGAGTGCTAAAACTCCTGGAACCGGAGCCGAATGCAGAAACAAATCTTGACGAATGGCTAAAAAAATTGTTGTAAACACTGGCCAATGGGGGCACTTGGACAGTCCGAGGGCAACAGGGCAATTATGTTTTATGTTCATTCTCCAAAGTGGGCATAAGAGATATAGGCTCATTTTTCACACACACTTCATTCCAAGCTGCTTTAAGCTGTTTTTAGATGTCTTACTGAGAGATTTTGGATGAAAATTTCTGACATTGCCAGTATATACTGCAGGCTGTCTTTGGTTGCAAAGGCACACAAATAAAGGACATCACATTAAACGCCCAAAGACCACTTAATTTACCTCACAATCAAAGAATTCTTTCACAATTAGTGGTGATGAAAGCTGTACATCATAAACCCTTCTTTAGCTAAGTGCAAGACCATTACTGAGGGTGCCAATAATTCTGGAGGTCGCTGTATTTGTCCATCTGTGTTAGCCACACTGAACAGCGGAGTCCCTCTCTGTATTAGAAACCCTTAAAGCAAAGCCTGTTTTAGCATGCACGGCTCCAGGTCACCATGGTTACCGTTTAAATACAACTGCGCTGATGGCTATGGGAGTGAAGAGTGTTCGACTGCCAGAGCCCGGAGCCCACGCTCTGCCTAAACCAGCATGCAGCACAGTCTGCACTCACATCACTGCTGATACAACCAGAGAGACAACACTAACCTATCAGTGCAACTGTAACAGTGCAGATAGTTTAAGCTTTAATACAGTTTTCTACGCTGAGGTCAAAATTCATGCTTGAATGTTTTATGTGTTAAAAATGTCTTGATTCTACAGAGACTGGTTTGGCCCACAGAAATATAACATTTTGTTTGTATTTGTTAAACAGAACTGTAGCAGCAGATAAAAAAAAAACAAGACAATGGACTCCCAAGTGGTGCAGCCATCTAAGCACTGGCCTTATCATTGGGAGATGTTGGCATCCGGTGATCCCACAACCAAAAAAGTCTTAAGTCATCAAAAATATTATCACAGATGCTGATAAAACCATGATCAACCAATTAGGGTTGGACAATATGATGATTTTTATTCTTTTTATACATTGTTACATTGTTATTATAGTTATTGTTACATTGTTATGCTGTTATGTTGTCATGCTTTATTTGGGCTGGATTAGTATCACCTGGGGAGATGCTGTAATTTGAGTGATTACTGACCAGATCCATGATTTTAATCCAGTATGAATCTCTGTCTGCAGTTTTTAGAAGTTTTCTAAGTAATATCTCTGGAGTGAATTACCTTCTGTTGCTCTCTTGGAGCTGGATTCGTTTTAGCGGAGGACGTCCAGTGTGTAGTTAATGTGTAAGGGATTTGACTGGCTGATTGATACTGATAAAGTATCTGGGCAACTACCTCAGATAGCATGAATTGAAAAGATAGCACTTCAACATTAAGATTAGAATTAAACGACTCCAAATAAACAATAAAAACAAACTTCCAGTTAAAATAAGATACAACAGTTTTGGGCTAGTGTGGTGGGCTCATTGACCTGAACAGACTGAACATATTGACCTACTTCTCACTCATGCTGCCTCTGAGTAGCTTGGTAGGCATGGCCATGTGAGTGACCACACGCAGAGGCTCATGGTAGGCGTATGCCATCCTAAAAGGACTGTTTATTGTTGTTGTTCATTAGCTAAAGTTGTGGGTATGTGTTGCTTATGTTTTATTGTCTTTGGGGTGCAGGTTATTGTGTGTGTGTGGGGGTCACCGTGATGGCGAAGCCTGTGGCTGGGGGTGACCTCCCCCGCAGGGTTGGCTGTATGGGTGTTTAATAAAAAGCACTTCTCGTGGTTTAAATCATGGCCTCCTGTGTCTTACTCTACATCAGTGACCACAACATGTTTCATTTCATTCTTCTATTAGCCCATCACCACAAATGTTTTATATTATAGTCTTGTTTTGAAGTTGAGGATAAAGGAACTGTCTCAGGAGCTTCATGCTTCTTTTCTCCCACTCGCCTTAAAACAGTGTTGTTGTGTATTAGCAGAATTGTTTTTTGTAACATTATTGTGAGGACGATTCATTCAGGACTGCTGTAACTGAAGGAGCTCCGGGTTTGAGGAACTTCAAGCCCTGTTTAAGCCTCAGATGGGGCTGCATATGAGCATGAACCAACGCGACTTCTGTAGCATTTATGTAAACAACTTTAAAGCTCATCAGAACATGCACTAGTTACAGGGCTATGCCATTTGATTTGAAACGCTCACTATAAGATTTGTTGAAAACAAAGCAGCTTATCAAAATATATTCGATGTGTCAATGTATTTTATTAGTTGTTTGGGCTCAAAATAAAACATTTCTGCTGCAGAGCTCTGTAAAAAGCCCAAAAGCAGCAGCAGCAGCTGGGTAATGGCTAATCTGTGATATTGAGTGGCTGATTGTATTTTTTTGTCTTTTTTCAGGAGCGAGCGGTCAGCATGAAGTCCAGAAACGCCGCGGACTGAGCCGAGGGGGCGCCTGATTATCGCCGTCCATTTCACTGTGAGTGACACGCACTGCCTTTGATCCTCCACAGCACAAACACACTCCATGTCAGCACACACACATCAAGGAACCAGTGAATCTGTTCAGCCTTTAATAGCGCACAGTTAGTCGATCAGGAGAAACACAGCGCAAATATTCAGAGCATTCACTCTTTATACTGTTAGGATACAATTGATATCAGGTAATAGACTTATTAGACACTCTATGAAGTTAAGAAATGCTTCTTTTGTTTTGCTATACTAAATATTTATTACAAAGTACTTTAGATTATAGTACTTTACATTTATTACCATATAGTCCGTATGGATATGCTCAACACTGCTTTTTCCAACTCTTGTTTTCACTTGTTTTCAAGAATGACAAAACAGCAAAAATGTAAAGGACGGCAACAAGAACTTTCCATCTTCTCTTCTGCTTCCAGAGAGAAATGTGGTGTGAACTGAATCTGCACCTTCCACACAATTTCTTCTCTTGTTTCAATGAATTACAAGTCAGAAATAATCAAGATATAATTAAAAGAAGTTAGTAATTGCATTATTTTGTGTAATAGATATATGAGTGGGCAGGATAAGCACTATCAGAATGTATTTATTATTTTCAGTAATTCCATAACATGATTTACATTGTGTGAGCACAGATCCTCAACATGTGGATCACATGATTTCCACAGAATGAACAAACATCCAGTGTCTGCATGTTTCAGCAAATGAGTGTATATATCATATATATCATATACTCAGTCTATGAGTGTCTGTATCATATATATCATATATACAGCCAATGATTGTGTACATCATATATATCATACACACAGTCAATATATATATATATATACAGTCAATCAGTGTCTATATCATACATATCATATATATAGTCCATAAGTGTATATATCATATATATCATATATACAGTCAATGTGTGCCTTTATCATATGTATCATATATACAGTGAGTATCTGTATCATATATATCATACATACAGTCAATGAGTGTATATATCATGTGTACAGCTCCTCTGTGACTGTATTTCTCACTCTCGTTTATTCAGCTCGTGGATTCTTGTTACAGTGGAGGATCTCAAGGGGAATACACTGGTTCCAGTGTATTCTGCTGAAGGTGCTGGAGGTTTCAGTTTAAAAGCCTTTTAAAAGGTTATAGAAGTGTGGGCCCATCACCTGTTAAGAGGGTTAACATGTTAACTTTGACAGCCTTAGTAAAATTACAGTGCTCTTGTTTTTGCCAGTGAGCAACCAAGTCCTGAAACAGGGAGATTGAGGTTGGAGCCTGTAAAATTAGAGTATCTGTACTGTCTGCTAGAGGACACTGAGGTGGTGTTAGATGCTAACAGGAACGTCTTTTAGAGGGGAAATGGTCAGGCATGGCTGACTGAGCAGAGATAGTTGGTCATGGTGGATGGAGCCTGTGCCAGCTACAGTCAAACTCAGGCTTTCCTGACTGCTAACACTGTTTCACAATGTTCATTAAAAATGTCTAACATAGCCATGTTCCCTCAAGTGTGCCCTTCTACTTCAGCATTAAAGGCTAACTGTCCCTGTCCATGGTGCTGATCTGTAGATGAATAAGTCCCTGTCCATGGTGCATTGGGAGATGTTGGAATTCCAGTGATTCCACAGCCAAAAGGTCATTAGTGGTCAGAAGTACTATCATAGATGCCGATAAAACTATGATCAACCCATAAGAGCTGGACAATATGACAATTTGTATTGTTTTTGTGATAAATTACATCACAATATGCTCTTCTGAGCATATTGCCAGTACTTCTAGAACACTGACCAACTGCAGGATTCATCACAAAGAAAGCCGAGTCAGTTCTGATTAACTGGCTTTAGTGCAGCATAGTGTGTAAAATATGAAATAAAATTATTAGTACTATTAGTATTTTTTAAATGTGGCACCACTGGTTCATTTTGTGTCTGTTCCAACTTAACAGATGTCAGAAAAAAAGAAATATCCTGACATATTGTGTGTTGTAAAAATTTCTTGAAGTATCCTGATATATTTTGCCATATTGCTGATCTCTATAGCCTGTGTATACTGTTTATTACAAAAAAGCTTAAAAATGCCAAGATCTAAACTTTTAACCGTATTGTTCAGTCACAATCTATCTGGGGTCATCAGCTAGCAGACTTAGCAAAGTATTGCAGTGGACCAAACTGAGGGCTTGAAGATAATTCTGTAGCATGTATGTAAAATGGCCATATTTTAGTGACATAAGCTTTATTTGAGCTGAATTAGTATTGTGGGCTAGCATGGCGGACTTGATTAATTGATCCATTTAACTGATTTAACTTGCTGATCCGTAGGCAAACAAGTCCCTGTCCATGATGCTGATCTGTGGGTGAATATGTCCCTGTCCATGGTGCTGATCGGTAGATGAATAAGTTCTTGTCCATGATGCTGATCTGTGGGTGAATATGTCCCTGTCCATGGTGCTGATCGGTAGATGAATAAGTTCTTGTCCATGATGCTGATCTGTGGGTGAATAGGTCCCTGTCCATGGTGATGATCTGTGGTAAGTAAGCCCTATAGGTAATTTTTCATTCAGTTGATGTGTTATATGGGTTTCCACCAGTTTCCATCCTTAAGTGGTCATGGTGAAAAAATAACAATATAGTGTTAATGTAATGATACGAATATTTTTTTTAGGTTTGCTACAGTTTTCAATTCTAAGGCCAAGATTAAATTTCAATATAAGCCCCAAAATTGCTAACTCAATATGTGTTCAAGTACAAAAAGGTCTTATCATTTGAGTCTGGATGTGTCCATAGCCCCCTTTCTGCCCATTTTACTCTGATAGGCTGCACCCAGACACTTTATTTGGATAACTGACCGTGGTTTCCATGAAAGATGGTAAACGAGAGACATTTTAGTACACTGGTTTTGTTGTTTTCTTTTAGAATTTTCAACACATATTTCTGTCTTTGGTGCTGATCTAAGTTTCTGTATAAGGTTCTGAAGTAATTTCCAACCAGCTTTGAGCTGGAAGTTTTGTGCATGTTGGTCTAAACATGCTTTTGTATTACATGATTTTAATTTTGTACTTCTTTTTGGTCTAAATAATTAAATGATGTATTCTATAAGACTCTCAGTTTCTGGTAATATTAAGGTGGGATAGCCTTCCATGGTGCTGTCCATAAATAATGGTTGTAATGTTACACATATATTCCAGTTGATCACAATTTTCAATTCTAAGATCACTTTTCAACAACAAAAAAAGCCTCCAAAACAGTGTGTCCGTAGCATAAGCACAGTATGTCCTGATATGATATTTCCCTTAAGCTCAGCTTTTATTATATTATTGTGAAAATACGGTATATGATAATATGATGAGACATTATTACACATTTTGCATCAATTTCTGATTATATTAAGCTGGGACAGCAATTCATAAGTCTCTGTCTAGTATCCAGCATATCATTTTCTTTATCCTTATATGTACTCTCCAAGAAGACTGGAAGATTTGCAGTGCAAACACTGCATGGCCTTAGAGGTCCAACCTTAATTTGAGTAATTTAATTAATGCATTGTTTAAAGCTCTCCAGCAATTTCTGATAATAAGAAGGCGGTAGATCCATCCACTTCTTTATTAAAGCAATGATCAGCATCTCAATAAGTCTCACAGCTTAGTGAGAATTTTCAGGCAGCTCACTCTGTTCTGATTGCAGTATCACCTACACCTCCTAAAAGTGCTGCACACAGTTGTTTTTTTAGAATTTTCATTTGCATCCATTTTTATTTGCATATTGACATTTGTCTGAAATGGCACCCCATGGTCTTAATGTTCCCAATCTGAAAGTCCATTACCTTCCACTGTTTCTCACTGACATAATGGAACGGAAACATAACAATGGAATGATGTTCAATTAACACCTTAAAATCTCAGGCTTATTACATACTAAGGCTTATTATTCAGGACCTAAAGGGATTTTAATGCAAACTGGCTGAGCTGTTCGGTTATAAATGTGTGTAATAAAACTTTGGGTCTGCCGTGGGCCCTGGCCATTTAAGGAGTTAACCTAGCAGTGTTAATTAAAGAAAATTGCCTGTTCCAGAAAATTTAGTATCATAAATTTCTGGCATGTAAAGTACTGTGCAAAAGTCAGAGGCCACCTCTTCATGTATTTATTTAATTTCAAGGCAAAGTAGCCATTAGGTACTGATTTCTCAGCAAGAAACAAAAAAACAGAAAACATATTAAACAGAAAATAATATCAAAAATGTTCAGTATTTATTTTGTCCTCTCTTTCCCTTTATTCCAGCTTCCATTCTTTTCAGGAGACTCACTTTCAGTTCCTCAAAGAATCTGCAGACACACCTCCAAAGTTCAGTCTTAGAAGTTGGTTGATCATTTTCTGAAGTAATCAAACACATTCAGTGATGTTGAGGTCTGGACTCTGGGGTGGTCCGTCCATCGTTCAGCTTCTTTGTTTGATGTGTCCGTCTCCTTTTCTCAGTGAGGCTTCTTGACAGCTACACATCCTTTCAGACCAATAGCGCTGAGTCGTCTTCTCACAGTGGAAGGATGGACAGAAACACCTGTGGATGTTTTCAGATCTGAAGCAGCTTGATTTTCTCCTCTCTCTCAAAGATTTAAGTGCTGTTTATCTGATGGGGACAGTTTTGGTGTCTACCAGGTCTTCCAGATGGTTGTTAGAAGTCACATTTTCTCTGTAGTTTTTAATCATTTTTGAGCTCCAGTTTTGGAAACTCTTTTTTTTTTTCCTTTCACTTTGCACCGTACTGTATTGACTGTTAATAGATTTTTATTTCAATTACTGGATTAAAAGTAAATTTTGCAGTTCTGTGTTAGTTTATTGACTAGATCTGTGAGAGAGTAGGCCTCAAGCGGGTCATTTAGAGTATGTCCAGGCTGTGTGTCCTTCTGTAAACCTCACACACACACAGCAGGGAGTTTGGCTGTGTCCCTCAGAGAGCCGGATCAGAGTGCTAAAAGTGCTGTACCTGAGCGAGGCTAAG